ACTTGACGACTCATATCGACAAATTGCCAGGTAAAGAACTTTCATAGGACGTTGAGTCATCGGGCCTATGTTCGACCTGGGTCTTGACGCGCTTGAGCATGACCATTTCGCTCGCTGGGTGTTGGTGAATCGCAGAATGCTGCTGCAAGCTAGCGGTATGCAAGCTCAATAAAGTGAGGCAAAGGAGTGAAAACCATAATGCCTAACTCATGCAAGTGCAGATGGTTAGTCGGTGACCCACACAATGCTTGACCAGCATCGCCTGTATCCTTGATTCGAGCTCAACGCTTACTTGTAGCCGTGCGCTGCCCACATAACCAAAGTAGTTTATTTACACTAGTGGACCAATTGAATAAATGCGATAGGAATCAGGATCAGGTGCTTGATCGCTTACTCGAAGTGTCAAACCTCACAAAGATGCAGACATAGAATTACAGGCTCAATCGTTTCGACCTAATAGTCAATGCTGCGTGCCAGGCGCATCGTCGGCGGTTCATGTAGCGACGATAAACATCGAGCCGAGAAATTACAAAAGCTCTTACCGCCGGGAATTACTGGAGAGCATAATGTGATACAAAAGCAAGAGGGCTGCAATAGTCGAGCCGCAATGAACTCACTAGCCTCAGGAATAAGCTTTAGGACAAGCCAATGGCTACGGGCAAGCAGGTAAGTACATACTCGGTCCAACCAATCGTTTTTATGGGGTTCCGATGTCGATCATGTGGCTGCTTCACATATTCCTGTTGCGAAAGACGATCACACGGCCATGCCAAGTCCATTAGACTGCTGCAGACTGAGGAACCGTTCAGCGCATAGCTCATCGATATGAGTCGTTCTAGATTGAGAAAACTCGATTTTGTCGAACAAGTTCAATTCACTGATCGATTGGGATATCATTAACAGCCACAGCGAGATATTTTGGAGTGACCTGTCGCAGACAGCGCATACCGCATTTTCTATAAACGCAGCGGCGCTTCGTCGCGAGCAGACAACGACAGTCTAGTGTGCATCTTTTTGCAGCGAGGTCTACAGAGACACGCTCACTGAGTTTCATCAGCTTTTTTTATGTGCTTCGGTGTCAAACATGCTGCAGCGAGATCTCACGTATACCCCCAGGCAGCGATTCACAATCGACGGTCGGCTCAAGCACACTTACAAAATCGATGCAGCTCTCAACGCTTTCGTGCCCCTTGCAACCACTTCTTTGCAGCAAACCACGTGAGAAGTCCATGATGTAACCAACTTTGGTCTCACGGACCTTATTCTTGATGGAATGACTCGCTCTTGAGAAACGAAAACCTGTACCCATCTTGCTCAAGTTTGACAAAAAGCGCGGTCATGATAACTTGAAACTCGAAAGAAGTTTTACCACCCAGCGACATCGACAAATGCTTCAACATGCGTGACTGGCACCAGCACAATGATCTTTGACTTTATCGACGGACCTGAAGAATCGATACACGAGTCCGAGCACGACACTAGCATGATTCTTGCGTGAGCGACTTAAACTTTATCTAAAGCCCTCAGCTCATTTACCAATGACATCGCCGCTTCCCTGTTGTGAGAAGGAGCTGCGGCAATGTACAACGTGTAAAGCGACGAAACCCCATCAAAGCTGATCACTGGTTGATACGCGCGGTCCCACATCTCATCGTCGCTGCGCATGGTCTCACTTCGAAGGTCCCTGAATCGATTGTGACGAATGAAAGAGATCTTTCGTTAGACGCTGAGCAACACTGGCAGTCGACGCGTGACTCGACTTCACTCGCCATTCGCAAACGCATACCTTCTAGGCTCCACGAAAGTCCCAGAACGAACTCGTTCGACGAAAAAACGTGCGTGGAAAAGCTCACCGCACCTTTACACATACCCTTTCGCCTCGTGTTCTCCTTGATCCTTATTGCTCTCGTACTTGTCAAGACCGCAGTCAAGAGCTCATTATTCAACCCACGATGGAAAGCTTATATGTGACGGAAAGCGCTTTTGCCGAAAGGCGAAAGGGCATACCCTTTCGCTTTTTTGGCGAAAGGGTATGCCCTTTCGCCTCGTGTTCTCCTTGATCCTTATTGCTCTCGTACTTGTCAAGACCGCAGTCAAGAGCTCATTATTCAACCCACGATGGAAAGCTTATATGTGACGGAAAGCGCTTTTGCCGCGACATCGTCGTCATCTTATGCCTACACGTCGTCCCCGCTCTACACTCCCCCACCAGACTCGTCTTTGGCCTCTAGTCCAAGTGAGGACGCGTTCTCGTCTGCTCAGGGCGACATCCCAATGGCGGGGTTCCCACTTGCGAGTTCGGACAAACATTGGGACAGTCTGAGCGACGACTTCATCACCAACGCGCTGAATTCCTTTCCGCCGTCTTCCGCCCTCGGGCTGGACGAAGAGTTGGATTTCATGACGCAGAGTGCTTCAAGCGATCCGCGATGTTGTCAGAGCGAAGCGACGCCTTCGTCTCCGTATTCTGGAGCGCTCTTGGCTGAGTCCACGTACCCGAACAGCTCTTCGTGGGTTGAAGAAGTGCCTGTAATGGCACAGGTAGAAAACTTACCACAGCTCGTTGCGACTCCACCAGCGGTAAAGAAAGGAGCTCGCGGACAAGGCAGAAAAAAGTTGTGTTCCCTGCCGCGCCAAAGAAGCCCACGGCAGGTCTCGACGAGCATAAAAAGCAGCGACGCCGGTCGCAGATCGCATTGGGCGTGCAACGCCATCGAGAGAAGAAGAAGAGTCTGGTCGTGTCGTTGCAGACCGAGATGAGTCAACTAACGAGCCACTTGGCGACTCTGCGAGCCGAGCGACGGGCTCAACTCGCGAACAACGACGAGCTCATGAAGAACGAGGAAGAAGCGATGACGCAACGGCGCAAGCGGAAACAGGCCGAGCAGCACAATCAGCTGCTGAAAAAGGCGCTGTTCCAGCAGACGACGTTTCTCGGGGGCATGCGGGCCATGATGGGCGGCAGCAACTTGCTGCTTTCCAAGACGCTCGAGTTCCACGACTGGGTGCACTCGTACACGGCCTTGTCGGCCACGGAATCTCTTGGGCGGCGCAAAGAGTACGTCGCGCACTTTCCACGGAGTAAGATGGAGTTGGCGCGGAACATTGTGATCCAGAACACCGAAGAAGATACTTTGCGCTTGTTGGCCACGGGCGGCACAACGACGGCGAACATTCGGATTTTGCACGACGGGACGCGGCACGCGCGCGAGATGCACATTGAGTCGACTGGGGGCATCACACGGGACCTCTTTGGTCGCCGCAGTAGCCGTCAGGATCCGTATACCTCGTTCGTCGACGATGCCGGTGACGGCCGCGTGATTAAGGAGTTCTCGTCCGTGTTTGTTTTCCCCGAGACCGTGCACTGCACGCTATATGCGCTCATGCACATTGTCGCCAGTAGCATGAAGACCATCGGCGTGTACTACTCGGGCGTGTCGTACGAAGCGCGAGCGTCGGAAGAAGTGCACCTCGAGGAGGACAATGGCTTGACGCACTCGGACGTGTACTACTCGGACCTGGTGGCGTCCATGGAGCCCGTGATTGAAGAAGTCGACGAAGCGGATACGGCTGGGAACATTGACGTTGAAGCGCGGGTTTTGACGCGCGTGCAATGTGGACAAGACGAAGGGATCCTCTTGTGGGACTACGCGGACGAAGACGCGTTGCACCCGATTCCAGTCGACTCGCCCGACCGCAAAGCCATTCGCCGCAACGTGTGCGGTGCAATGATCGTACGACGCGAAGTGGGCACCGGTTTGCTCTCAGTGCGCCACGTCTCGATCAAAGCGTATTGTCCGCTGGCGCAGCCCAAGAACGTGCCGGGAGGGCCCGAGGCGTCGGACGCCGAAGAGATTCGACGGGCCATCACGCGACGCATTGGCCTGCAAGCGACCGAGTCTGAACGCTTGCGGGACCGGTGCTTGGGCTACGTCTACAACGACATTGTCCGTCGCTTGGAGATGCTGCAAGTGTCGTGAAGCCCTGGAGTCTGAAAGCCGATCGACCGGTTGGGAGGCTTATGGAACGACCGACAAGAGAATACTCGTGCAGCTATCTATGGCAGTGCTTTATGATTTCGTTAATACCAGGTCTCGATCGCATATTCGTTCGTCCCTCCTGTCTACCTGCCTCGCTCGTCTCCCTCGTTAGTTCAGAGCGGCAACGAGCACAACGGCCACAATCGCCGCGGCAACGAGCACGACAGCCGCAATCGCCGCGGCAATCGCTCCGATGTTTGTCTGCGGCTTCACCATCGACGATCCACTCGTCTCGCGCGGGGTCGTCGCGTTTTCCGGCCGTGTCGTGGCATTATCCCTATCTCCTGCGCCACTGGCTGAGCTTGTGACCGTATACGAGTCGGCGATCCCGACGCCCGCGGCATTGCGCTCGGCCCCAGTGTCGAGGACCTCTTTCGGGCAAATGGCCGAACAGTTGAAGCGCTTGGCGGCTGCCAACTGCTTCTCGGCCACGTAGTTCTGCACAATGCACGACATGCACGTGTGGCAGATGGACGCCGGCTGCGTCGCCTCCGAGTTCATCTCCTGCAGACAGTGCAGCCGCTCAGCGCAGACGGGGCCTTCTTCCTGAGACGTGGCAATGTAGCCATACGAGTCGACGCACTGGAGCTGATCGCTGCACTCGCCAAACTGGGCTACAGTGCCCGACGTGGCGTTCGGGTTCACCGAGTTCTGGCACTTGTCGGCGTCTGCCGCATGGCACTCGCACATGTTGCACCGAGTGTCGTGGGTTACATTCGTGGCCGACAACATGCTCACGCGTACCACGCCTTTCACCTTGCCGCACGCTGCCGTAGCTAGTGACTGCGAGATTAGTACGCCCGCGGCAAAACCCCTCCGGTCTCCTTTCGGGCCTGCTCTAACAGGGCGGGCAGGGAGTGAGATCGCAAAATTGAGTAATGAGAAGTGAATAAGTAGATGGCTTGTACAATGGCTGTTCAAGATGACATCATGTAGGTTTTTGACGACAACAGCACGCGACGTTCCCCGGTCAGTGCTGCGTTGGCCGATCGTATATTCGGTGTTCGGCGTTTATTAATCCGACGAGGTCGCTTGCTGCCAGCTGCGATCGTGCCTGGTTCGGTTAAAGTGGATCACCAATTGTGCCGTGTACTGGAAAGTGCGCCTTACACTATCACATGAAGTCAATCTTACGCCATGCTAGGTCGACTCTACCTTCGCAATTCTTTCATCACAAATGACAAACAAAAAGTACTTGGGACGTGACGAACGCCTGACAAACGACTTGGCACTCTGCGTGCTACCTTCTTTGTAGATATGCTCGTCAGAGCTTTGCAGTGGCAACGCTAGCTGCGTAAAGCGAACGCATCAAGGCATTCATCTCACGTGCAAAATTATAAACTGGCACACCTTTTTCACACACACATCATGCGACACATGTACAGGCGACGCCAAAGTTGAGGTAACGATTGATGCTTACTATGTGAATTTCTTTTTTGTACCATACAATCGGCACGACGCTAACATGACAGGGCAGCTGTTCAATGACATCATGAAGTTCAATTAAACCCTGGTTAATCCGATCCCTGCCAATCATGAGATATTGCTATTTATGATAAAGAGTCGATCCAACGATTCCGTTTCAGCAGGAATGTGAAGGGAAAACTTGATAACGAGCAAATTTGATGGTTAATCAATAATCCCGTCCAAATTAATAATCTTTATCCGGTATTTGGGTCGCTGGCGTGGCACGACCGTTACACGGGACAAATCTGGGAGCAAAATCACGCCTTTGTCCAATATGCAGATGTATAATATAGGGAAATGATCGAAATGTAATGTACGCATTCCTCCCATGACACGTCTCGCTAGATCTGTATAATCATCGAGTACTGAAATGATGGTTCGAACTACATTAACCTTTCCCTCGGAGCTGATCTCTGTCTACAGGCTTGTGAAACCTTCTATTGTCGACTCCGACTCCTATTAAACCGCTGCTCCCATCAAAACCCCAGCGTCCGCTTCTTCGCTGAGCAGAGCTGTGGCAGTTAGCGATTCCGTACCCGTGTCGGCCACGGCTGCGCAGCAAATGAAGTCGTTCAGGTCCATCGGGTCGCGTATGCGCAGCCGATAAAGTTGTTATAGCAGGCTGGTGTTCAGATGGTCGTCAGCGTCATTGAGTGATCTACGAGTGGTCGTACGGACATGCACGGGCCCTGTGTACATCAAGCAGTTTAGTAAAGCATCGCTTGGAACGTCACACCAGCAGCATTATATCTAATTCATCGCCGTTAGCTGGTCAAGCGTTTAAAAACTGGTCTGTAAATCTTGTTTTTTCATTACTAAAGCATGATCGAGCTGGCGATGACGGTATCGATGCTTGAATGAGGTGATAATACCGGCGTTAATGCGCTGCATTTTGGCGATCATGTTTATAAAAGGAGCACAACGCTCGCACTCTAAAACTTCAATTCATGAGAAGTATGCATCGATGCATTGTCGAGAAGGAAAACGATGGATCGTTTTTGTGCCCCCATATCGTTGTCAAGATAATGATGCCACTCACGGAATCGGACACCGGTCATCCACGCCTTGAGGTTGCTGCGATATTTAAAGCCAAGTTGATATCATATCTTCTTTTAAAAATTGCGGCTTCTACGCGTGACCAATGATGAGGTGTATCGTTTGTCCGAGACATCAGCGCAGCAAATCGATCAACCGTCATATGATTCTTGCTCTTCATCGATTCTCTTACTTATTCGTTTATATATGGTCGGGCGCGGGGCTGTAAAATAGCCCCTTTTGTCCATGTTGAAGATGTCGGGAAGATGAATTCTTTTGAATATTCCCGGATGGCTTCGAGCTACGCAAGAATCTTTTCCGAATGTGCAAAGCCGCTCAGATCGTGATTGCTTCGCTGATCGAAGCCGTGACCTATAACCGAAGCTGAAATCCACCCATTCGAACCCAACAGCAGCTGGTCTTTTTGAATACCAATCAAAGTTGCATATCGCTTCGCTCTCGCCTTGATCAGATCTTCTCTCACCATCACGCGCTTGGCTTTACTCTGCTGCACTTAATTCGCAAGGTCTTCATCGGCTGCAGGATACAAGATCACTAGGGTCCGATTAAACTTAAGGTCGACGTCCATCACGTGCAGGAAGTTTTGACGAATACGCGGCATTCCATAGACCGTCTCTTATGAGGCTTCTTGAAGAGAACGAACTTACAACTCGCCCAATCTTCTAGCTGTGAGTGTGTAAGAGTGGTGTTTTCGTCATGCCCATAGTCGATCTTCTTCATTTGCTCATACGTCACGATACAAACTTGTTCGGGCCACAACTGCATCGTCGTGTTAATGGCGAATTAGCAAACCGAAAAGTGATTTATTCGTTCGTGCATAATTCTCCTACTGTAATTGTACTTACCATGCCGTCCATTAATAATGCTCTACCAACATAAATAGCAACAGATTTCTTCCTATATCTATGATGGCGTCATGGTCTCGAATGTCGGGGCCGTCACTGCCGACAGGCAGTGCTGGTGAAGAAGACGATACACGAGTACCCACAGGCTTAGCATACTCTTTTGCTCGTGCCGGTTCTCGGACCGGTCACCTCTCCGATGGTGCAACACCAACATTGTTAAGCAACACGCATACACAAAATTCGTCAGACACAACACTGATTTGACATGTGTACACAGTTGTTATACACACTCACACAAACTAAATATAAGCATATTAATCTACTCGCCAAAGCACATGCATAGCGCATCACCAACACTTTGTTGTGCTTCAAGTTTTTTATTGAGTCGCTCCAACTACAATTGTGTTGAAATTACGTGCTAGCCACTAACCTGGTTTCATTTAATATTTTGGGGGCTGTCAATAAATTAACGGTATTTACCTCTCTACAATTTGTTGCTTTTGTTATACATAATCCAGTCGTGCTCCATGAGTCATATCGAATTTGGCATGGAATATATATCGCATGATTGTTATGAACGTCTCCTTCAAAAAATAGCGTGTAGGTACTCCCCAATATGAGGCACAGCAATAAAGCTGATAAACAAGGAGTATAAACGGTACAGCTGTGGTCTAAAGAACCCTAAACATGAGCGAGATGACGCCATCTCACCTGCATTCGCCGAGAGAAGAAATGGACGAGGTGGGCCCGCCTACTATGGCAACGGATCAAACGGTCGACGAGCAGGCAATGGGCGACGGTTAGAGTGACAGCAGACCGGGCAAAGGGGATACGAAGGCATTTAACGGGACACACGGCACAATATCAAAGAAACAGGCGGAGTGTTCGATGCCACAGTTGTTGACATGTGACCCGAGATAACAGGACGAGAAAGAAGTTGAACGGAGCAGCGTCAAGAAGACGTAAATCGCTTGTATTTATAGGGACACTGGAGCCCAGCGGTATACCTTTGACTTAACGTAAAGTAAGGCTAGTAAATTGACATCGCAGACGTCAACGGCTCTGGTCAATGAGATGGCAGACAACGCCCCACGTCAGCCTCGTCGAAGCAAGGTACACAACGGTACAACACCTGTTCGCGGAGGTATATGACACAATACCAGTTCTTTTTTTAGGCGTTACCAGTGGAGAGAAAGCATTTTATCTCTTAGTGCAGCAGAAGAGACCATCTTGTTAGCATCGTTCGTTCGAACCTTCATTCAAGACCACAGTAGGTTGTCCAATAAAAACTTTTTGGCAAATTCTATTTTGCATGAACCGTTAACCACAATGGGGACCTTTAAGTTGATCGCGCAGGCTAGCCATTCAGCACAAGTGCTCTTAATCTTTGGTTTCGAACCATTATGAAAAGTGATTTAAACTCGATTCGCCTCAACACGCCAGGCATCAACTCACGTCATCGAACAGCAATTGCGATTTACTAACTTTATGTTTGACCCCACAGTTTTGAATAACGAAGACATAACTTGTCTTAAAGCTCTATGTGGAGCCCTGCTACTGGGCCAGAGCAGCAACAAGTTCGGGAAGGCCTGTATGATAATGGATAGACATCGCGGGAATGGAAGAGGATGCGGTAACGAGACGTCGCAAAAAGTCTCAATTTCATACGCAAGTTCATTAGACTGGGGCGTAACTGCGCCTTTACAGTACTGTACAGGGTTAAGCCGAGAACGAGTTTTTTTGCAATTATATATCTCTCGGGTAATTAAGACCAGACGATCGAGATCAAAGGCCATACCAGAAGCTGCTCTGGAATCGGCGGAGCTGGTACGAATGAAGCACCCATCTCAACATCGGATGCTCGTTTAGAATAAGACAATAATCTTACAACCACGTTAACAAGACCATTTATTTCTGAGTCGTCAGCCTATTTACAGCGGACCTCCGTAAAGATGCACAAGTGCCGTACTGTCGTGAGGTTTATCGACTCTAGAACTTTCATCGACTGACGAGGGGGTGATTTTAGCAGCGACGGTAGGGCCTGAATTATTTACCAAGAACGACTCATAAATTACAGTGAAGCTCCGCAAACTTACCTGTTTCAGTGACTTAGGCAGGCTAGCTGTAACAGGGTGACTCCTTTCGTTACAAACTAGAACGAAGGTATCAATTTTTAATATTACAATTTATATTATTCAAACAACATGACTCGAGAAAGGTGATGTTGACGTTATATTGCCTTCGAGGGTAATATTCTTTGGGAATCGACTTATCGTTTGATGTACCGTGTACATAATACAAATTAAACAACCAATCGCTGCT